GCTCTGGATATTTATTATCTAAAGAAAATTCAGATTTCTATAATATGGAAAAAAAAGTGATGCTAAAATAGATGCTCAACAGGTTAAGAAGTTATTGAATCTCACCGAAATCTGGAGGGTTCTTTGAGTTTTGGTTCTTAACATTCTGCACATTCTACCCATTTAGATTGTTTCTGTGACCACAAGTAATGCCAGCATCATTATACAAAATGACAATGCCAGGCTGACTGCTGATGACTTCAGACTGAAGTAGGTGATAATGATTATTATTATTTTTTTTTTTTTTTTGGTAAAGGTAAAAATTCTAAAATTGAGGCCAGGCAGCACAGCTCTAGAGGCTGAGGCAGGAGGATTGCAAGTTCAAAGTCAGCCTCAGCAAGGCCCTAAGCAACTCAGTGAGACCCTGTCTCTAAATAAAATATAAAAAGGGTTGAGGATGTGGTTCAGTGGTTAAGCACCCCTGGGTTCAATCCCCAGTACCAAGAAAAAAAAATACTAAAATTAAATTAAAGAACACATGAGCACACACCACACTCGCTGGGAATTGAACCCAGAACCTCACACATGCTAGACAAGCTCTCTACCACTGAGCTACATCCCCAACCCTCTTACTGATTATTTAAATGTCTTATTTGAGTGTTTTACAGAGCTGGGGGTTGAACCCATGGCTTCACATATGCTAGGCAAATCAAATACTCTACACTAAACTATATCCCCAAGCCCTTTTTTTGTTTTTAAAACCCAAATGTTTTAATATCAAAACATTGATAGCCATACTAGATCAGTAAAGAAATTAAATTAAATATGCCCTTTTTAAAAGAACTTTAAATATGCCCTTTTAAAAAGAACTTTAAATATGCCCTTAAAAAGAGAACTATCATAACATTTTTAATCTAGCAATATTTTGTTCAACTAACACATTGGATGACAAAAAAAAATTAACTCTGAAGAAATAACACCTCCAAAATGATATTCATACATCAGTAGTTCTCTTAAAGTATTTTAACAGTTTGCTCTTGCAAAAAGCTTCAGAAGTGTATACAGAACCTCACATCTTTTGGCACATGAAGTGTCTTCACAAGTTGCATTTGGCACCTGCCTAGGGTTACAATTCTCAAACACCTTCATGAACTTTAAGGTATGAAAACGAGCTTGCCCTGCACCAGAGTGTTGAGGCGGACACCAACGGTCTCCGCAGAGTGTTGGAGGAGCTGGCCCTGGGCACAACAGACCTGGAGATTCAGTGTGAGACCCTGGGTGAGGAACTGACATACCTTCAAAAAACTCATGAGGAGGTAAGGAAGCCTGCAGAGCCGCTATGTACAATCCACTCTTCATTTCAAAGCAGGGTTTGGATACCAGTCAAAATCCTCCCTCAGGTATTAATATTGACCCCTTTCTAGGAAATGGGAGTCCTGCGACATGCATCAGGAGGCAACGTGAATGTGGAGGTCAATGCAGCCCCAGGAGTGGACCTAACTGTTATGCTGAACAACATGAGGGCTGAGTATGAGGAACTGACTGAACAGAACCGTAAAGACATCGAGGCCTGGTTTAATGAGAAGGTACAGCTATGGCAAGTTACCTGTGAAGGGCTTATTCAGTGAACAATCAAGCTAGCCACTAACCCTTCTGACAATTCCTCTTCAGAGTGCATCATTGCAACAGCAGATTTCAGATGATGCAGGAGCAACCACAGCAGCCAGAAATGAGCTGACAGAACTGAAGCGCAACCTACAAACCCTGGAAATAGAACTTCAGTCCCTTACGGCTATGGTATGTAGGAATTGCCATTGAATTGAATATGTGTGTGTGTGAGCCCGCTTTTCCATTGCTCTCACAACATACCTGAGGCTGGTGCTTTATAAAGAAAAGAGGCTCACTTAGCTCACGGTTTTTAAAGGCTGACAGTCTAAACAGCACCTGCTGTGACACACCATGGTCAATGTCATCATGGAATGAGTGCATGTGAGAGGGAGAGATCACAGGCCAAGTTCATTCTTTTATCACAACCCTCTCATGAGAAGCAAATAGGGTTCCATGGGAACTATATCAGTTTCTCCTGAGAGTAGCACCTTCGATGACCTAATTACTTGCCAATAAGCTCCACCTCTTAAAGGTCCACCCCCTCTTAACATCTCTGCACTGGAACTAAGCTTCCAACACACAAATGCTTGGGGGACACAATCAAACCATATTCAAACCATAGAAGTGTGTGTGTGTGTGTGTGTGTGTGTGTGCATAGGTACAAGAAAACACATATAAAAATATGGATCTATACCACAAGTACAGTGTATCTAAGTACATATAATTAAAAATACAAGTTTATGAAAATAAACATTACTTCTGACCCATCCACCCCAAAACCTGAAAAAAGGCTTTTTTCCCAATGGAGAAGAAACCTTTTCTAACCAATTTCAATTTTCAGCTGAAAAGACTTAGATCTCTTGTGCCAACATTTCTTTCCACCTTGAGAATGCTTAAAATAGGAGCATGCCCTTTGCTTTTACACAGTCCAGCCTGACTTCATTCCTCTTTCAGAAACATTCCTATGAATGCTCCCTGGC